CAATGATGCTCGAAATATATGTTTATAGGTGTGAAAGCATGGGAGCAAGTTTACAACAGGTATATAGAATGACAATGCTCTGGCAGATAAGGAACATAGCCGTTGGATGTTCCTTTCAGGCATAAGTTGACTTGGTTAAAAACTAAGTTGGCTTAATTCATGAATGAGTCGACTTAGTTAGATACTAAGTCAGCTTAGTTGCTATTTTCCTGAAAAACAAAGTGACAGCTCTCAGTCAACAGCAGTTGACTCAGTTGAGGAAGAAGTCGATTTAGTTGAAGAACGAGTTGAGTTAGTTTGAGAATGAGTCAGTTTAAGTGAAGAACGAGTCAGTTTAAGTGAAGAACGAGTCAGTTTAAATGTGGGAGTAAGTCACTGCTTGCAGCCTGCTCTTGATTTAAGTCCAGGACTTTTACACACCTTTACAATTTTTATTTGTCTATTGACTTTAAGTTTATAATGTAAATAAGGAAGTACCCCCTATTTAGATTTAATAAAAAATACAAAAAAATCTATTTCCCACTAAATCAATATGTAAAAATTCAGTTTTAGTGAAAAGTAAGATTCTTGACAATTTTAGTAAAAATGATTTTTCATGTAAGCCAATGTAGAGTAGATAATAAAATCCTATAAAATCACATTAGGCTATTTTTAATGTGGGGAGTAAATACCGGGAAAAACTATCTTGAAAATATGTTTGATTCAAAAATCCATTTTTCATACTTAGCCAAAAAAAAAAAAAAAAAAAAAAAAAAAAAAAAAAAAAAAGAAAAAGAAAAAGAAAAAGAAAAACAGTTTGTCATAAGATGTATGAAAAGGGTCCTAAGGTCATTTCCCAAGTCATGGTAATGAAGGCTTTATAGATAAGTAATTTAAGTTCTAAGCCTTAACCTTTACTTTCTAGAGACCAAAATGAATCATGTGATTGATGTGCATGGTCCTAGCACTCTAGCTCAAGTGTTGAGTTCTTTCAAAGCTTAAGCAAGCTTGAACTAACTCATTCTTTAGCAAAGACTCCATATGTCAAATATATATGTGTGATGAAGTTCATAGTCTATTGCTAATGGATATTGAAACATATGAATGATGTAATGATATGCATGGTCCTATAGAGATGAGCTTCAAATGGATTCATAAATACTTTGACATTGAATCATAAACATTCACTATCCTATCTATCCCTTTCTTTATGCTTTTTCCATAATCGTTTAGGCAATGAGGTATTCTTGCTTTCTTCCTTTCTTTGAGTTGTTTTCTTACTTATTGTAGTCCAAGCTATCTTTGGATGTACTTTGTATTTGGTTCCTTGCAAGTCTTCTTTGTATCCTTGCTTTCCATGATGTGGTCTTGAATAATGGAATACATGGAATGATCTTTATTGCTTCATTGAGGTTATTCTTTGAATGTGAATAATCTATAATACTTAATGAAAACATTAGTCTTTACACACCTTTAATGGTTTGTTATCATCAAAGCATCTAGATTGTCTTTGGATGAAATCCTTAAGGTCAACACTACTCACTATCAATTCCCAACAAGTTATTTTCTGCACTCAGCCTGTTTACTCTTTTGTATACTCGCTAACAAGTCGGTTTCCCTGTCTACAATTCTAAAACTGATGATACAACATCTATTCATAGTCAGGTGGCAAAATTTTGGCCCTCATCAACTGCTTCATCTTATGCAAGGTCCAGACAGGTTGTTTTCCCTGCCTCCTCTAGTTAGTCTATTCCTATTCCCACTAGGCTGAAGCGCCTCCTCTAAGCTTGTATGCCACAAACTTAACCTACTTCTCTTTGGATATATTTGTATACTCGAAAAAGTGTTCAACTTCAATAATCTAGTCAAAGAAATCTTCAATGTGAAGATGTTCATTGGAGGTGGGTATATTCATCTTCATCTTGTAATCACGAGTGTCCGGTTCTTCTCGGTTTATGTTTTGTCTAGCACGATCACGCTAATCAAATCCCCCGAACTCTTCATCACTGAACGACTCCACATAGGCCTCTAGCCTATGTGAAGATATATGAACGTTAATCATATTCGGGTGGCCATGAGGAACATCATCAACATGAAATCGAACTGGTTCATGCACCTGGTTGCATGTAATCCCAAGTCTAATGATATCCTATTGGACTTCTTGTAACATGCGTTCTTTTCATTGTTTCTGATTTTACATAGCCGCCCAAAGGGCCTGCACACCTTTAACAACGTCGCCGGAGTGGGTGATGCCATTACCATCCTCTGCCATTAGACCAGGTTAATTAATCAAGCCTCTGATATCAACATATTTATGCAAAAGCTATGAAATCGTTCATAAGGAACAAGGTTGTTTTGAATCTACAAACAAGGTACTTTGAATCTATAAAGTAGAAGAAAATTTGCGAATTCTGAAATATTATTAATAATTGAATGAATGATATGCTCTGTAGTACATGTACTTATAAATAAAAACCCTAATCATCATAAGAAACCCTACAAACATAAGAAAACTAGCAGCATAAGGAAACTGCTAAACATCAAACTTGCTTGGTTTGTAACTCTAAAAATAGCTCTTAAGAATTTAGAAAACAGAAAACTATTATCAGAGAATAATCTTTTATAGTTCTCTGAAAATAGACATTTTTATAACTGAGTTTTCATAAAACAGTTTTCTGAAAGCTGAACCAAGCAGAGTTTTTTGTACCGTTTCAGTTTTCAGTTTTTTACAGAAAACTGTTTCCATAGTTATAAACCAAGCAAACCCTAATTGTTAAAAACTACTAAATACCAAAAGGGAAAGTAATTCAAATCCATTTAGTCTTCTAACAAAAATCTCAAAATATTTAAATGATTGAATTTGACCGAGTTATAAGAGTGTGGCTTTTTTGTCCCTTTCCACTAGCTTTGCGACTCCCCCGTCCAAATGCTCTCCACTTCAGGCTTGCTCCTCAATCTTCGTAGTAAGGTATCTGAATGAACACAAACACTCCATGAATGCTTTGTCCCCTTCAGAACACGATCAAATCCTCTTTCCTTCAAATCTGAATTTAAGAAGGTAAAATGAAAAATCTGCTTTTCTGAACGAAATCAGCTGAATATTTAATTGGCACCAACCTTGATCAGAATGTGAACACCAACCTAATATTACTCTCATGTAACCGTGTGTTCTCTCAAAACATAAAAATACTCGGGAAAATCAAAAGGATTGTCTGCAAAAAGCACTAAAAAAGGCTCTCTCAAATTACTGTAAAGTGATCTCAAAAAGCCGTACTCAATTATGAGAGAAAAAGTGTTTATATTAGATAGTCATAACCTAACTCGATAAATCAGTCATGGTTGAACAGAACATGAACTTCCCTAATGAATCTAAGCCAAAATGAAATTATAATTTTGCAAAAACTAAAGTTTCATTTTTAATCCCGTAAAGTGCGACTGGTTGGACTTTAGCAGTTGTAATCCTACAATTTCAAAAATAATTCCTCAAGTTTTGCCAAGGTTCGACCGGTCAAAGGAAGTTGGACCGGTTGGACTTAAGTAGATTGCAATTTTTCAACAACATGTGCATCAATGTTTCCTCACTCGATACTTGTACTACATGATATTCTCATTGAATTGAAGTATTCTTGCACTTGTAATTCCGCTTCTTATCAAGACTCAAAATAAAACAAAATTTATAATTTGATTGGACACATTTTGATATTGAAATTAATTAATTACAAAATATATATTTCATATTATATGCTTACAGGTATAAAGTGCGAGTTCATCCGTACATGTAAAGAGATAAGTATTGTTGTAGTACTGTTATATGTTCTCTCTATATATATATCAACCCGGAAAAAAATATGATTTATCCAAATTGCCTATTTTGCCTATGCATTTACTTTTTGTGATCAATTGGATACGAATATTGTTCGTGAAAAAAAGAATGGTCCCAAATGGATAAATCCCAACTTCATTCCCCAGCTCAGCAGATGCCAACAAATAAAGTAGACAGTTCTTAGTGGGAAAAAATTTGGACCACTCACAGGTATAGAAGTACAATCTTAATTATTGATAAAACCTTACTCATTGTTCAGTCTCTTGTGGTGACAACCCTCGTCAACCCAAATGTAAAAATTGATTAAAATTATATTTGAGAGAACAAAATCGACACTTTAAAAAAAAAATTTTAAAAAAAATAATAATTTTAAATTTCAACTAAATTTTCTAATGAGTGATTTCAGAGGCAAAAGAATTAACATCATCTACCCTTATGTCCATTTATACAAAGTCATATATATATATGTGTGTGTGTAATGTAATCACAGAAAATACGTAAAAGAAAAATCATTGGACAATTGTCACCATTCAATACGAAACCGTACTATCATCAGGTCGCTATTTCCGTATGCAGAGATTCGTTATCGTGCAACTTTTAACGCGGAGCACTACAAATCCATCGTAGTCAGACAACCCTAAAGACAATTTTGTGATCAAACAAAATATACCCAATGAAAAACATTCTTTTACCTCAATTAGTTAGGGAGTGCAACTTTTTCTACTTACACACAGATAAAAATATATATATTTAAATTAAATAAATAAAAAGAATTACACAATCCTACCATTATCATAGAGAAATTATTACTATTGATCCTAACCAATCACAATTTGACACTGAAATAAGAGCGAATGAAATTAACACATTTGTGACACATTTATTTAATTGTTCAATTGTGATTAGTTGGAACCAATGATTTTGGAACCATGTAATAATAAAATATATAATAACAAGTAAGTTGAAATTTAGAAGAATAAGAAAATATGTGACGGATGAGAAATAGATCGATGAAATAGAAAATCATATAATGACCTCAGTTTAATTCAATCTAAAGTTTTGTAGAAAATATATAATAAATCTTATCCATATGGTGCCTTTTCATTGAAGGTTATCTACGTGAAGCCTTAGGCAGACTTTCTCAATTAATTGTTAATTTAGTGACTGAGCTGGCCCTGCCTATATAAATGTCCTCATAGGGACTCAAGTTCTTCACAGCAAAACCAAAACCAAAGTGTTCTCTCAATCATCACAACCCACATTGCTCTACTTTCATTCTCAATCTTGAAATCTTTGCATCACTGTTTGCCATTTCAACTCACTTCTGAGGCAACATTTGAAGTTGATAGCTTTTATCACTTCTTTATTTAATGCAATGGAGATGGTAATGAACATGGCGTCCCAAAGGCCACTGGTGATCTTCAGTAGGAGCTCTTGTAGCATGTGCGACACCATCACAATCCTCTTTCGGAACTTTGGTGCTGACCCGGCCATCCACCAGCTAGATCAAATGCCGAGAGGCCGAGAAATAGAGCAGGCTCTATTGACCCTCGGTTACAATGCTGTGCCGGTAGTGTTCATTGGCGGCACACTGGTGGGAGGAGCTAATGAGGTCACCAGCCTTCACCTCGAGAGGTCCCTAGTCCCAAAGCTTAGGGAGGCAGGAGCTATATGGTTGGACGTATAATTTGCATTTCGACGTTACGTGCCCATATATATATAGAGAGCCTATTTCACTTCTAGTGATGCTACTAAATAATGTGCACACGGGCTTGGTTTTTCCTTTTTTTTTTTTTTGCTAGTAATAAAGTTTTCATGTAAAGAGTTTCTCGTCTCTTTGGAAGCTCACTATCAAAACAAAATGTGATCCGGAAGTGTTGGTTGCTAAGTTCAGTTGTTGTATGTTGATGTTGTCGCTTGATTTTATGTTGGTTTCTTAATTCAGTTGTTTTATGTTGGTGTTGGTTGTTTAATTTGTTTTGTTACTGTCCCTTAAAGCCCTAGCTAGCTGCTTGTTTGCTTTTCATGGCCAGCTTGTACAGGTAAGGTTCTCATCATTTCTAATACGTTCTTACCTTATCGAAAATAATAATAATAATAATTATAATAATGGCTACCTCAGATTTGTAGTGTGTGCATGTGTGGGTTGATGTATAGTTTTCATTTCCGGTCCATCTTTAACACTGAATTAAAACTAGTAGGTATTGACCAAGACAAAAATAACAAACATTAATTTAGTTCTAATCTTCAAATAAGTGATTTTATCCATGATTATATGAATAAATTAAATGAGCGAAACTTATATTTATAATAATATATTATATTATTATTTTTTGATGCATCCATGCATGCTTATCCATGTTCTATTGCTAAAATAACCAAATATTTTATCAATTGCAATTTATTTTTAGAAATAATAAGAATAATAATAAATCAATTCCGCAGCACAATCTGCATAAAATTATGGCTGCTTTTGGAAGGCCAACAAATATGTGATATATCATAGGGATAATTCCAAAAAAATGAAGTTTTGGGGGTCAAAGGACAAAAGAATGGAATCAAAATCAAATTTTCGAAATTAATGGAATTTTCTCAAAATCTGATGTGAACATGGAAGTTTACTATAAATCATATTTTCATTTCCAAAATATCCTTCTATTGTTGTCATGAAATTATGTTACTCTCATATCGAGAGAGAGAAACCCATCTATGACAACCTTTCTTCCCAAATGAACAACCAACAAACTTGAGAAATTCATCCAGAACTTCTGGTCTTTCTTCCCAAATGAACAACCAACAAACTTGAGAAATTCATCCAGAACTTCTGGTCATTTGCACTTTTCTAATATGATTAAATGGATTTGCTATTTTTTAAAAAAATGAGTTTGCTAGTTAGGTGGGTGAAAGAGAGAGATAGCTAATCAAAAAGAAAGAATTATTTTTTCCATTGCAGATGAACACATTAAGAAGGGGCTGGTTTAGGGGTGTGAGAGAGATTGATGATGAAATGGGTTTGCTATTTTTTTTTTTTTTAAATGGGTTTGCTCTGGGGTAGGTCTGGAGCAGCTTCTGGAACAATTAAGATTTCTAGTCTTACGGGCCTTTGGTCACCTCCATGCCATTCGAGAACCGATTAAAAGTATTCCACTACACTAGAGAGAAGGCCTTTCACCCAAAGAAAAGAAAAAAGCTTGAGGCATTTGTTAAACACTAATTGATTCTAGGAAGAAGGGGGGGGGGGGGGGGTGTGAATAGAGTCAATGGCCAATTTTTCAAATTTGGAACTATAAATTCTAATTAACAAATATACAATAATCAATTAAGATAGACAAGTAATTTAAAGTATAAATGTTAGAAAGATAAGGATGAGAGATTGCAAACAATGACTCGGAGATTTTAGCGAGGTTTAGAAACTCTTACTCCTTAGCTTAAGATCCCTCTTGAGACTTCCCAATCCACTAGAGCTTCTCCTTAAGGATGGAGAGCAAACCTTCACATGAAGCAAACCCTTACTTCTCTTCCTAGCTATGAGAACACCCTTCTCCTAGGCTTCTTTTGGGTCACACCAACCCTTACAAGTTTGTAGCAATGTATATAATTGAAATACAAGATAAAATCTCTCTCAAGACAAATGAACAAGTGTAAGCTCATAACTAGAATAGATATATGAATCAAATGAGGCTCAAATCTCTAAGATGATATGAGAGAGTGAAAGATATGAGGTAAATGCTCTTAAATACTATCTTGAATACTCTCAAGAATGCTCTCAATAGTTGTGTATTGATTTCACTATGTTCAACCCATATTTATTGAGAGATGAGCACAATATAGCTGTTGGAGGTGAGGTGTGCAAAGTCAACATCTACAGGTAGCCGTTGGTTTTGAATCTGTGATTGTGTCGGTCGGCTGATGGAGTACCTTCGGTTGGCGGAAAGTCCCTTGTCGGCCGGCTGATCCTTGAACAACAGTCGGCCGAAATGATGGTTTGAAAAACTCCAACTCTCTGTTTTTATGAGTGCTTCTTACCGATCGGCTAATGAATTAATTCGATCGCCCGATCCATTCAAGTAGAGCCTTGAGATGTTTGTCAGTCGGCTGAACCCTGATGTTCAGTCCGCCGAAACGTTTAACATGAAAACCTCAACTCTTTGTTTTGTTTGTCGGCCGGCTAATTCTTTACTTCGGTCGACCGAAACACCTTAAATGTGAACTTCATTTTTCTGTTTAAGTCCTTTTTATCTTTGCTATGTTTAATTTCGAGATCAAGTAGAGGATAAGTTATATCGATCAATTTAGCATGAAGTGGTGAATGAATGATCCTAGGATGTGAGCTTCATAAAATTCATATACTACTCTGACATTGAATCTAAAGCGCTCACCAAACCAATCTACCCCATTTGAGTCACCGATCTTGATCACTTTCAGTCTTCGTGTTTCATCTTTGAGGCTTTGGGATTAAATGACTCGTCTTCTTTAATCATTGGAGTGCATGGAATAAGTCTAGCTTGATTTTGCTTGGACTTGATTTATTTTCCATTTTGGACTTCAAACAATTTATCTGACACATAATCTTAAGACAAGCATTAGTCCTTAAAACATCATTAATGGTTTGTGATCATCAAAATTAATCTTAGGGTTAACAATCTAGCTCCCGCTTTTTGATGATGACAAAATCTTAATGTATTTTAGAAATGAGTGGAGTTGCGTTTAAAATTGCTCCCCCTATCATTATGCACATTGTTACATCATAGCAAGATAATCAATCGACAATTTTAATTTGCAGCTGAAAATAGGCATTTTACATTTTAATCTCCCCTATCTTTATGCACTTGATATCAAATTTAAGAAATAGTCATATTCAAAGACTCATATAGAACCAAAATAACTTTTCATTAACTTTGATATTAGAAGATGAGTACATGTCAAGGTCTCGCCCCTTCCTCTAAGTGATTAAGAAAACGAACTTTTTAATGCGAGAGGTCACTTTGCAAGGTCAAAATATGAATGTGGTTTTGGAAGCGTTTCTTGTCAAATTTACATTTATAAAAACCACAACTACAACTAATGAAGTATAGCGAGTAAGGATCGTCCGCAGGGATTATAAGTGTTAGAATTTAACTTCGACTCTAATGTATCAATTGATTGCAAAAGAGAGAGTTGGGTTGGTTGATTACTTTAGAAAATAATTAATTAAAATGGAAGTAAAATAAAACTAAGTTGAGATAGGGATTTAAGAGATGAGAAGTGTGGTCTTGGGGTGCATTGGAATCACCTCCAAGCTCGTTCACCAAACCACATACTTTCAACTAATTTGGGGAAAACATTCTTGTGAACAAAATGCGACTACCAATTGCAATATTAAGCATGGATCATCAAATTTATATATGAATTATCTACTTAACGGACAAATAAACTAAGTGTAACATAACCCATCAATTCTAAACATGACTCATCAAACTAGTCACAATTGTAGCACACATCAATTTAGAGAATCATGAAATTTGCAATAATAAGCCATGGAATATTAAATCAAGTAAAGATTGTCTACCCACCTACAAGCATGAATTAAATTGTAGAACCCATCAAGCATAGTATAATCCATCAAACTAATTGACAACCCCATCTAATAAAAATCATATCTAACCATCACTAGATTCTCAATCAACCACACATAGACATACAATTAATATAGAAAAACTAGTGTAGAGATCAATTCCTAAATAATCATACATAAGATAACATGTAATCATATAGAGAATCAACAAAAAGAATTAATCCATAGAAATCAAATAAGAACCCAAGATTCATTAAATTCACAAGGCTAAAACACTAATCACAAGACATTATTCCCCAAAAAGTATAAAAGAGATAGAGGTTTAGATTACAAACTTAGGGCTCATCTAAGCCCTAAGGAGAAGTCTAACCAATCATGGAGGAGATGGGTGTGATCTTGGAACCCACAAGGGCAATCCCCAAACATGGCTCCATCTTCTTCCTCTTATTCTTTATTGAATTCTAGAGAGAGAGAGAGTGCGTAGATGTTGAGATGTGTTCTTGGAGCCTCCACTCCTCTCTTTTCTTCAAACCCTAATCTCTAACTTTTCTAGAGAGGGAAAATAAAATTACTATGAAATAAAATTGAAGACAAAAGATATATTACAAAATTGTTCAATTCCCCTTTTATACAAGGTCCTTAGAGTAGTGAACAAGTCAAAAAATAAGCCTTCAAAATATCTAATCCCGCAACTATGTGGTAGGTGGAGTTCGGGCACGCGAGAATAAAACTGCTCGATACCAACACATTTTCGATCGATTGAAGAAAGAAGATTTATTCGATTAATCCAAAAAATCTCGATCCATAAAAAAATTCAGCATTTTTGACATTTTTTTGGATTTTTCTAAAATCTTCTCAGAACTTTTGCTTGACTCCAAAAGGCTGTAATAGACAATTTTTCACCCGTTTGAACCTTATTGACCTGAAATAGACAAAAACACAAATAAGTACTAAAACGGGAAAATAAAGACAGATGAATGGACTAAAATACCCTCGCTTAGGTGCTAAAATGCGTCACATTTGAACACTCATCACACTCCCAAACTTAGATAATGCTAGTCCTTAGCAATGAACAACAAGGAAAAGAAAGAAATAAACATCTAAGTAATTATGAACTAGAAAGTAATAAAAGGATAGCGCCACTTTCGTAGGGAACACGATTGCATTTAGCGTATGCAACAAGTCTTTTAAACCCCTAGATTACCCCTAGTGGACGAGTGAAGTCTCGTGAGGGTTTCCAGAAATAATACCCACAAACATTAAGCTCATTCTCACAAAAGAGGCACCAATATACAAAACAAGCATTGGGAGAAAACTACTTCAAGTATGCAATT